CTAGGAGATTAAATTATAAATTAAACTCATTAGGATAAAAGACTTCTAAAGATCAAACTTAGAGTAATCTTTTAAAATCAATAAACATACCCCTTAATACATAACAACCACTCCAGAAGTGAAGTTTATTGGATGGACTACTCCGGGCTGCGGGGCTAAGTGTCCTAAGGAGGCCTGGTTCCTCGAGCCTGGTGGCACAACGCCACGAATGAATCCCATGGGGTGTTAAAATTTAAGGTTAATTTCTTAATTGGTTTAAGTCAAACCTTAATTGATAATAAATTACCCAATCTACATTTCTTTTCTAATTTATAACCAACTAATAATTCAACAAAAATCATCAGGCAATCAGGAGTTCATTCATCAAAACACTCATAATGAATGAATGAAGACATGGTCATGTCTCAGCATTAAATTTGTTTTTGAGGGATTTTCATTCTGATTCTTATGTGCGCTTACAAATCACAGCAATGGGATCATCTTTCCAGTATTTTGGAATTTTCAAGCGTCATATAAACAGCTTTAGATCGTGTTAATCCTAATGAACTTTAATGGATTAAGGCTTCGTCTGGGAGCAGCTTTAGATCACTATTTTTTTTTTCTGCTTTTAAAATATTTTTATACTAAAAAGCAACTTTATAAAGCAGTTAAAAAAGCTGTCCCAAACAAAGCCTAAATCTAATCCATACAAACTTGTTCATCTAGTTCAAACTATCATTAACATTGTTCTCAAAGCCATCATTGATAGAGATTAAAGCTTTGTTTGGGATGGCTTTCTTTTTGCTTCTTAAAGCAGCTTCTTAGTACAAAAATTTTAATTTTTATGCTAAGAAGCTGCTTTAAAAAACAATAAGAAAGCCGTCCCAAACAAAGCCTAAATCATCCAATGCAGATTTGCAACAAAACTTATCTTGGGACATGGCCCCAATGGATAAAAAAAACAATATTGGGGCTAGGATCTCTACCCTTAGATTTTATTTGGGACGATTTTCTTACTGTTTTCTAAAACAGTTTTATAGTATAAAAATTTCTAATTCATTTTTTTAAACTAAAAAACGGCTTTAAAAAGCAGTAAAAAAAGCTCACCCAAACCAAGCCTTAGTTTGACTTTAGAAATAAATAGCCACAAGTGAGATGCATTTCAGTCCACCACAAATTCCAAGGTCAAATGAATCATCTATCCACCGTATGTTTCGCTAAGCTAGCTCGGAAAAACAACTTAGCAAAGAAGTATGCAGTTTAATGTTGAATTTCCATATTGTAAAATTTTAAGGAGATGAAAACTGATATTATTTTATAGTCAGGACAACGACCCTTCTAGTCTATAATCTAGGATCTGATCAGCAATACTCTTATTGCAGCTAATAAGAGTAAGTTTCTAAAAACCCATTGGCATCCATTCCTAGCACTTCATGTGGTGTTCAATCTAGTTTACAGAAATATTTTTCATACAATCTAGTAATATTAGAGTAAGTATGATTTGTCATTTTTCATGCTTTTCTAGCTTTACAAAGAAAACATTATATTGAGAAGCATGCAAGGAAATTGCATGAACTAGATTGTATGAAAAATATTTCTGTAAACTAGATTGAACACCACATGAAGTGCTAGGAATGGATGCCAATGGGTTTTTAGAAACTTACTCTTATTAGCTGCAATAAGAGTATTGCTGATCAGATCCTAGATTATAGCCTACAAGGGTCGTTGTCCTGACTATAAAATAATATCAGTTTTCATCTCCTTGAAATTTTACAATATGGAAATTCAACATTAAACTGCATACTTCTTTGCAGATACCAGTAAAGGGAATTGTTTTTATTGCAAGTTGATTTTTCCGAGCTAGCTTAGCGAAACATACGGTGGATAGATGATTCATTTGACCTTGGAATTTTTGGTGGACTGAAATGCATCTCACTTGTGGCTATTTATTTCTAAAGTCAAACTAAGGCTTGGTTTGGGTGAGCTTTTTTTACTGCTTTTTAAAGCCGTTTTTTAGTTTAAAAAAATGAATTAGAAATTTTTATACTATAAAACTGTTTTAGAAAACAGTAAGAAAATCGTCCCAAATAAAATCTAAGGGTAGAGATCCTAGCCCCAATATTGTTTTTTTTATCCATTGGGGCCATGTCCCAAGATAAGTTTTGTTGCAAATCTGCATTGGATGATTTAGGCTTTGTTTGGGACGGCTTTCTTATTGTTTTTTAAAGCAGTTTCTTAGCATAAAAATTAAAATTTTTGTACTAAGAAGCTGCTTTAAGAAGCAGAAAGAAAGCCATCCCAAACAAAGCCTTAATCTCTATCAATGATGGCTTTGAGAACAATGTTAATGATAGTTTGAACTAGATGAACAAGTTTGTATGGATTAGATTTAGGCTTTGTTTTGGACGGTTTTTTTAACTGCTTTATAAAGTAGCTTTTTCGTACAAAAATATTTTAAAAGCAGAAAAAAAAAATAGTGATCTAAAGCTGCTCCCAGACGAAGCCTTAATCCATTAAAGTTCATTAGGATTAACACGATCTAAAGCTGTTTATATGACGCTTGAAAATTCCAAAATACTGGAAAGATAATCCCATTGCTGTGATTTGTAAGCGCACATAAGAATCAGAATGAAAATCCCTCAAAAACAATTTTAATGCTGACACATGACCATGTCTTCATTCATTCATTATGAGTGTTTTTGATGAATGAACTCCTGATTGCCTGATGATGCCAAGGAAAATAAAATGCTCTTCATATCTGCCTCTAATTAATCTGAAGAACGGTTATTAATTCATATAAGGCCCACAAGCCACATGCACTGTGTCATACCGACATAAGTACAAATTTGTCGTTGAAAAAATGAATAGGTACTGAAATTTTGATATAGGAACAGACAAATTTGATAGAGGAAGAGACAAAGATGATGTTGAACATTATGATTCATGTGATAAGGATGTCTCTATGATGCTTCAGCATGTGACAGCAATTACTGGATGCTGCACCTGCATTTTACAATGACAGTCATAAGTTACTCAATTTTTAGGAGAAAAAAATCATTCTTTAATTGATAAATTTAGCCAAGTTAGATCAAATGGGATCTTTGGAATCAAAATTATGATCCAAATTTAATATATATATATATAACGTCAAGTCTTTATCTCACTATATGGAGTTGACTATATGAATATTTTTTCTCGATTGTGTTTGGTTAAACGTCAAATTTTCATTTAAATCTAATAAAGAATTTTCATTTATAATATTTTTTAACCCATTCACACTAATTTTATAGTAAAAATTTAATAATTCAGATCGGACAACTGACCAAATGATGCACTTTGTTAATTTTATTTTTAGCCTACAACAAAATTAATTAATCTTACTCTACCTTCATAAATTTTGAAATTTTTATTCAAAGAAATAAGACTTGTGAGGCTAATTTTTCAGCATCATTAAATCAAGAATCCATTACTATAATAAATAAATAAAATATATACTTACTATTTTTACAATAAAAAAGAATCCATTATTTCAGCCTAAAAATTTAAATTTATAAGTAAAAAATATTTACTTACTATTTTTACACAAACATGCTTTTTAATACTTAGTACTCATATGATCATTACCTCATCGTATAACGGTTATATTTACATGAGAAAAGAAAATGTATCAAAATTAACAAAATAGCCCATTAATGTTCCTCATACTATACAATTATCAGCACAATAAAGTAAAATTAAAAGCTCTTTTAATAGAACTTATAGGAAAAGAGGATGATGAAAAGGGCCGCCCAAAAGGCTGTTTTATTTAAAAAAGAAATACAAAGCATAAAGCTTCATTTGGGACCGCTTTCTTAATGTTACTTAAAACAAATTTTTAGTTTTAAAATTTTTAATTTTAAAACTAAAAATTTGTTTTTAAGAAGCAACAAAAAAGATGTCTCAAATCAAGCCTAAGGCTTCATTTGGGATAACTTTTTCTCTGCATCTAAAAATATCTTTTTAATACAAAATTTATAAATTTTATACTTAAAAACTATATTAAGCAGCAGTAAAAAGCAGACCAAAACGAAACTTTAGGCTTCGTTTGTGATGACTTTTTGTTGCTTCTTAAAGCAGCTTTCTATCACAAAAATTAAAATTTTTATATTAGAAAATTATTTTAAGAAGCAACAATAAAGTCGTCCCTGGAAGGCTGAAACTGCTTTCTTACTGCTTCTTAAAGTAGCTTTCTACTTCAAAATTTAATTTTTGTACTAAAAAATTACTTTAAAAGCAATAAGAAAGCTATCATGCTTCGTTTGGAACGGCTTTCTTACTGTTTCTTAAAGTAGCTTTTTAGTACAAAAATTTTTTATACTAGAAAGCTGCTTTAAGGAGCAATAAAAAAGCCATCATAAATGAAGCCTAAGGTTTTATTTGGAACTACTTTTTCACTGTTGCTTAAAACATCTTTTTAGCACAAGATTTTTAATTTTTATACTAAAAAGCTGCTTTATGAAGCAATAAGAAAGTTGTCCCAAACCAAGCCTAAGGCTTCGTTACACGTCTTTTTTATTGATTTTTAAAACGGAATTTTAGTACAAAAATAAAAAAAATTGTGCTAAAACTCCGTTTTAGAAAGCAATAAAAAAACTGTCCCAAACGAAGCCCTAAGTCTCAGAAAAGCAGCTTTTCAAAAATATTCTAAAAAAACAGCTATAGATTTATTAATCCAGAGTGGAAAATCTGTTTTTGAGCAAGCTTTCAGCCTCCAAAAAACAGATATAAAGTTAAACCAAACAAGCCCCCAAATCATATTAAAATTTTAGGATCAAATTACTCATATATTATATTTAAACTTCAGCGCTCACTTTTCCAAAAAAAAATATAAAAAAAAATAACTGAGATGAAAAGCATCAACGATAACTCAGCACAATACTGATGCTGATGCACACACAGGATGGATAACGCATGAAAGACCCAACCACAGACCACTTCACAAGTGGCAGCATACTTTTTTAAGCTCATCATAACACAGCCCATATAAACAAAATTATAATTAAAATTTAATAGTTTTTGTCATCAAACTTGGTTCATATGAGAACCTCAGACCAACAAACATAAAATTGTACAGACTAACCTCCTTGTTGCCTTATATTTTACTACCACTACTTCTTGTCTTCTAAGGAATTTGTCGATCTCCAGTCCAGCTTGAAAAGCCACCTTCCTTCTACAAATTGTCAGGTTTATTCAAAACCAAACCTGCATCACTGTGTCACAATACAAGATGATCAGCTACAACAAGCAAGAAAATCTGAAGAGAGGACTGTCGGAATTTCATTTTTATCTTGTGTTAGAATATAATGATATCAAGAAAGATCAATTTTGATTTTGATTCTTTTTGCGGTTATTTATTTTACAAGTTTGATAGAATTTGACATATTTGATCGGCATGAAAATGTCATCAATATCAGTGAACTAAACAGCTAATATGTACTAATAACATAATAATAAATGACAGATATTCCTGAACCAAAAGTTACAGCTCCTAAAGTTAAGACTGCATACTTTATGTGGAGATTGCATATGAAAGACAAGCAGAAGTCACATGGCCTACATCATAACCTGTAATGGTTAACAATTTTTTAAACTCTCAAATCCATAATGATAGAAATGCCTACTACTTGTCGCTAGGTTTCCATGTGGAGATTGCATAGATGATGCGCCCTTTCCAACCCTGTAGCAGCCACCTGCTATCTTGATCAATGACAAAATCCCTGTGATAACAACTTCTCACCCTGTCTTTTGCCCTCTTCATGATCTCAGGATTGAGTTGAAGTTGAGTAAACCCAGCCCTCAAGTTCCTCACCTGCCATTGTTTGTAGGTCTCTGGCCTCTCCACCCTTTCCGAACCCTCACATGATATGACATTAAGAGCCTCACGACCAAATAGGTCCCTCTCAATGAGCATCCTCTGCGCATCCTCTCTTAGCACTGTTGTTTCAAGCATGTCAAACAAAGAAGAGAAGTGGAATAGAGCTTCCCTAAAGCGTGTGACAAAAAAAGGAGCACTATATGAGCCATTGACAATTCCATGAATAAAGACATCCGGATTGGCCTTCCTGATTGTGCTCAAAACCTTATTCCGAGGACTATCGACAACCACAGTTTCATCCACCAGGTTCCTGAAGCGGTATAAGCAATTCACAATAAGCACCTCATCTTCATCAATCTTCAAATCTTCAACACGTATGGTCTCCCATTTGGATGCAATCGCATTGTACTGAAATGGAACATTGAAGCTCTCAGCATAATCAGCCAGCCTTTTACCAGTCTCCTCAATGCGCTCAGTGGGACGAAAACCTGGCTGAGGCACATCAATGCCGGTGATCCGAAGCTTTGGCGGACCACCTGGCCTCAATGAAAGACGCTGAATAAGGCAGGGCCACTGGAAGCCAAAGTAGATACCAAAATCTATGATGTGCACCCTTGATGCCTTCTCAGACGCATTCAATATGGTTTGATTGGAGAAGAAATGTGATATCTTCTTGAATGGACAAGCTGAAAGATAAAGCTTGTAGGCCTTCAAGATATCGGTTGCCGTAGTTCGTTTTGCCACAAGAGAGTGATAAATTTGGCTTCCGGTGCCAGCCATGCGAGCCTCAAGTCCATCTGCCAAGCAATGGGCCAATCTCTGTGTTCCATCACCAAAAGGAGATGAATATTGTCTAATCTGCTTTAGTAACTCATTGGCATTACGGCGGTCATCAGCAGCAACAGCCTGAGCACAATGTATAAGCAGGGTTCTTAGGTCAACCACATCCTTCTTTTGCTGTCTCTTGCTTCGACCTTTTCGACCATTCTGAGAACTCTTATTAGCACTGTTTTGCATTGCCATATGATAACCATTCATCTTATTCACTCCGTATGTTTTCACGCCCTGGCATAGTAAGACGTTATCAAACATCTCAGACCGGACAGCATCATCAGAGGACTTGGCTGACTGCTTAATGCTTCTACCTTCCTGCAAATCCAAATCCTCACTTAGCGGTTTCTTCCGTGCCCGAGACCCAACAATTGGGAGCAGTTGTTCTTTCTCAACTTTATACTCAGTATCAAATGTGAAGCCTTTTTCTTTCAAATTATAATTTAAAGCAAGATTTTTGACATTCACATCAATGGCCAATTTGTTTTCACTGGGCAGGAATTTTTGTGCCTCCTCCATACCTCGCTTAAATTGCCAAGCAGGCTGGCTTTCAATCAACAGGCTAGAAACAGGCGATGGATCAACACTCCCTACACTAGATGAGCTGAAAGTGAACTGGTTCCTCACTGACGAATCCTGAATCCAGCTTGGATCAACAACTCCGCTACTACTGCTCTCCCCACTGAAAACACCGTAACTGGAGCTAGTTTCCTCGGGGCTCTCTAATCTACTATTTTCATCCAGAAAGGATTTACCGGGAGATGGTGGTGGGTATTGCTGCCCAAGGATATCATAAAAAGGTTTCTCCGCAGCTTGTAGAGCAGACTTTTCCTGATTAAAGGGATATATCTTCTCGTCCACATCCTCCTCCATCAGGATCCTGCTTATATAGCTCAAGACAATATCAGAGAAGTCAGAGTCTTCAGGGTAATCAACCTCATGGCTTCTACTTGAGGTAGACGGAGGATTCCCATCGGAAACCGAACCTGAACCCGAAACCTCGTAATTGGCATGGTTGCTTTGATTTATATTGGGATCGGCGACACTATATTTGTGCCCATGGAGGTTATTTTGAACTGGGAACAGCTGAGAAGCATCAAACTTAGAACCATGCAAGCTGCTGCTATCCATGACAGAGGGTTGGGGATAGTTCAGCTTGAATCCCCCAGGGTTCTGATAGGAGAAGAAATCTTCACAACTCAATCCATCCACACCAGATAACTCACGCGTTCGTCGATCCATAACCATTGAATCACAGTAGACCTAACACCCAACCATCCAATCCTCAAAAACCCTAGTAAACAAACAAAGCCGGACAAAAAAAATATTATTTTGATCAATACAACCGATAAAGACATAAAAAATAAAGCGGAAGGCCCAAAACTTTTAAATCAAAGCTACATGCGCTACAAACCAGACAATACTAAAGCCCCCACAAGAAAAATGCAGCGATTGTGAATGGAAATCCAGAATGGCACTAAAACAAAAAAACAAAACCAGCAGAAATCAAATTACGACCGAATCAAATAGCGCAAAAGATGAAACCTTAACGAGTGAAATTGCAACCCCATGCCCTTCAGATAAAATCGTATAGATCCGAAATCATACAATCCACAGTAGAAGAAACGGGAAAGGGGTAAAAAAAAAAGTACCTTGAGGAACCCTAGCTAGCAAGAATAAGGGATAAAAAGGAGACGGAGAAAGGAAGAAAACGCCACCGTCCGCAGGAGTTTCTCAAACTCTGCGACCTGCCTCTCGTCTCGAGTGATCTCTTCCTCTCCTCTCCCTGTCTCTCTTTCTCTCTTATAAAGTGAGCGAGTGATTGAGGGCGAAATAGGTAATTAGAAAATATCTCTCTCGTTTAATAATATATTTTTCTCTTTTTTTTTCAATCAAACGTATTTGTCCCAACACTAATACGCTTGTTTAGGCAGTAATTAATTAATTTTTTAAGTCATCAAATCCTTTAATTGCCTCATAGATCGGATTTATTATCCATAATCTTTGATTTAACTAGTGGATGTCTAAATTCACTACTATTTAATCAATTGTTTTATTCTTCTTTTGGTAGTAGAAATCAATTACTAACATATTTTTATTTAGGCGAAGTTTAAAAATGAGCAGAGTAATATTTTTTATTATAAATATAAGCTTACAAGGGACAAAATTTAGGAATGAACAAAACTGAGAATAAAAATACATCAATATGAGGACATGACTACATTCAAGAGCATGCATGGTAGAATCGTGATGGCTTGAATGCGATGCTCGTAAGTTATCCGTACAACTAAGCAGTGGGATGCCATTGAAAAGTAAGATGCACCTACGGTAAATGTTATAAGGCCAATAGAAGTCATAATTCCAACTGAACTTTACGAAGGACAATTTTTCCATAAAAAGAAGGGCCTACAAACTAATATTAATGGTTAGTCGATTGTGCATAATATACAATATGTTACATTGACCACCAATAAGAGCAGGCTAACCATAACATGTGTCAAAAACCATAATCCACACCGACCATGCCTGTGGCGTAGGCATGCCTCCAAAAGTAAGTGACTCGGTGGGTTATAAAAAATATCTACGTGTGGCCCTCCGCACACTTATACCTATCTCGTAATGGCAGTTAGGCATCTTAAGTGTACTTCAGAAATTATTTGTACTTACATCATTCCCATAATTCGCCAACAATTAGACATCAAGCAAAGGGAGATTATCGCAATGATGGATTTTAAGTTTGACATCAAGCTGTCGTATGTAAAGGCATGGGATGCACAGAGAAAAGCAATTCAAACTGTGTTTGATAGTTATGAGGACTCTTACCTATCCCTTTTCTACTTCATGGAGGCTATCCATATGGCCATCCTGGAGACACCCCACAACATTGAAGCGGTCGAAACTTCACGTTTTAAGGGACTTTTTGGGCATTCGGTGCATCTATTCTTAGGTGGAAATAATGTATGTCGGTCCTTAGTCTGGATGACACTTTCTTGTTTGGAAAGTATCGTGGGCCTTCTTTGTCGCTGTTGGAGTGGATGGAAATTATGGTATTTTCCCTCACGGATTCACGATCGTCAAATCAAAGATTAACGAATCATGGGCTTGGTTCCAATAGAAGCTTCATGATCTTGTATGGCCGCTCACATAATGTAATGATTTGTGTATAATTTCATATAAGCATCCCAAATTAGTAACGGGTTGTAGGGAAGTTTTTCTAAACACAGTATACAGACATTGCCTTCATCACTTACTGGTTATGGTGCCATCATTGTTTACTAGAGGTTTTCCTAGCATGATGGGGGTGCAGGGTTCAGTAGAGGCAAACACATTTGCACAACATTGGAACCCTTTTGCAAGACAGCCACAGATGCAACAACCAACAAGCAAGCACATCCCTTACTGGATGGATTCATTTGAGCTACCATCATCTCCTACTCAGCAAGATGTGTTACTCCAAGAAATTCAGGCATCAATACCCAAAACACTTGAGGAGGAAAGGGCTACAGTTGATGACGAGGTGCACTGAGCTCGCAACGCACCTACTAGATATACACCTGGATTTTGCGCCATTCTTCGTAGAAAAAAGAAAAAATAGGTTATCATTTTCTTTGTAAATGTGCAGAACGATTTGTAGCATTGTATTATATTTGGCCAACTAGAAGTATTTTTATTTAATATTTTATCAACTCATATGTATCGATGCATTATGGATAAGAATTTCAGTTTATTTCTTCTATGCATATTATAATTTTTTATATGCATTTACTATAATGTTAAAAGTTGAAATCATAAAAGAAAAAAGATTTATTATCTTTTCATAAGACACAATAGCATACCATAATAAAATGCTTTAACACACTACATATAAACTTTAGTAAACATGGTGAAAAAAATACAACAGAAGTAAACATATAAATGAATACATAGATTTACTATTTTCTAAGCAACATACGTGAACGTGCTTGGAGTTGGATTTTACTTGGGCAGCACTTAAATTTAAACTCAAACTCATACTAAAGGTGTTGCCAGTCCCCGCCATTCAAAAACTTGCTTGGCTTACCTTCAGATAATTGTTCCTTTATCCAATTGTTATAGAAATCCAAAATGAACTCGTCAAAGTGAGAGAATACCAATAATAATATAAAATCACATGCTCAATATTATGATTGTTGCACTCAACATCAGGCGAATTATCACCTTCTCTATCATGTCGCATCTAGTGATATCGCATTTGTAAGAAATGAGAACTAATGAGATGACCTTTTTTTCAAGAATCACATCTGAAGATATTTTAAATCAGCGCATTTAGAAAATCTCTTATCTTATCGAGTTTTACCCTTATTACCTCAACATGCACACTCCAAAGTACATCATCCTCATCTTTTGACCATTCATGGATGCAACACATAAATATCTATTCGCACTCACGTTTTTCTCCAACAGACTATCATCGGTCCATGCTGTAGAAACATGCATTCTTCTACTTAATTGCATCGAACTTTTTCTTTATTGGGGATGTCATATATCCTCTCCATATACGACCCATACATATTGAAACTAGGAACTAAAATATTCAAAACTCAACTTCAAATATATATGCACCCCTTAAATAACAGAGATTATACATATCCCACATTGAGATGTGATCTTACATCTTTACGGATCATATGATATGACATGTTGTTGTAACCAATCACATCATATCAATGAATAAGGACACAAAATTAAAAGGATCATATGCTCCAAATGAAATCTTGGCAAAGAATCCTATAACTTCAGGTAATTATTATTAACATAAATAAATAAAAAATTTATTTTTCATAAATAAATTAAAATTTATTATTATTTAAAAAAATGAGTTTCAAATAAAATATTTGAATTAAATTTATTAGTCATTTTTTTATACTCGTTTTTAAATAATAATAAAATCATTTTATTCAATTTTTTTAATAATATAATTAACTGTAAATTATATTTTATTTAAAAATATATGCACTCTATTACTTAATAATACATAAAAATAATTATAACTAATAAAAAATTCAAAGACGCACAAAATTTCATGAAATTAATAATATAATGATTTATAACGGTTTAATTAAAAAATTAGGCAATTAAATCGGTTTATTGAGAAACCAGAAAATGGATTTCCGGTTTATTAATTCTCTGAAGAAAATGAAAATTGCAGCTTCTGAATAAATATAGCTATCGATGAAGAACGAAGAGCCAAGTTGATCACAACTCACATGAAAAATAATGATGTATTTACCTAATGGTCCAGATAGATAACGGGTGTTGATATTAATATTTCCTGCCATAAGCTAAATATTAATAAACAAGTAATGCCAATTGTTGCGTCCAGGAGTATTCGCGACGGTAGAGAAATATAAAGTTTAACGTCTTAGCGTTGTACGAAAATCCGGCACGCAATCAGATAAAAGAGAGGGTGTGTCATCCACTAGAGACGGCAAAATTTTTACGTGAAAAACTCCTAAAAATGGGAAAAAATCACGGGGTCTGGCCCAGTATAAATGAATCCACCAGTATTGTAGTTGATTACAAAGCAGGTCCTTTCTTAGGGGAAGACCTTAGCTTAATGTGCATCTTATAGAGTACATTACACGGTGAGAATACAAAGCATAATTGTTTATGTGTTTGTTTAGTCTGAAGAACTGTAGTAGGCGGGCGACGGAGGTCGGAAGGACCGTAGTTGGCGGGCGACGGAGGTCTGAAGGACTGTAGTCGGCGAGCGACGGAGGTCGGAAGACTGTAGTCGGTGGGCAACGTAAGTTTGAAGGACCGTAGTCGGGGGGCGACGGAGGTCGGAAGGACAGTAGTCCGTGGGCGACGTAAGTATGAAGGGCTGTAGTCGGCGCGCGACGGAGGTCGAAAGACTGTAGTCGGTGGGCGACGTAAGTCTGAAGGACCGTAGTCGGCGAGCGACGGAGGTCAGAAGAACCGTTGTCTGACGACGGAGGTCAGAAAGACGGCGTCTAGTATAAGACCATCAATGGATAGATATCCAACATCAGGTAGATGTTTGGTGAAATTCCGACAATTGGCAGAAGTACAGCGTTAGGTAGAAATTTGGAGACGAGCAGATGTCTGGCGTCGGGTAGAAGTCTGACGCCAGTTGGAGGCCGAGGAGAATTCTGACTTTATATGGAAATGAGGCAGAACTCTGGCATCACTTGGAGGTCGGACGGAATTCCGGCATCACTTGGAGGTCGGGCGGAATTCCGGCGTCACTTGGACAGAATTCTAACGGCGGTGGTCGAGGAGGAGTTCTTCCCTCCTATCATTCTTCTCTTCTCCTTCCGCTGTTGTTTGGTCCCCCTCTCAAGATAAATGAGGGGTCTACTTATAGACTTTATGGAGTAGCATGACCCGTAAATAGATGAGAGATCAGGGGCGAATATGGAGCCGATATTGAATTTTTCTATCGTGGACTATTTATCAGGCATTTGAAGGTCTTAATGACTTCGAAATTTGGCAATCTTGGGCTCGTTGGATTCACCTCGTCGAGCCGCTTGATTCGACCATAAGCTCAACAAGTTCTGAGACAGTTTGGTAACTCAAATTGTGATACGAACTTTCCAATAGTGTTTCGGGTCTTTGATTCGGACCCATTTGGTCTCGGATTGAGTTGAATATGGTGTCGTTGGGTTCGTAAGTCCAAGACGATCAGTTAGACTGTAAGTTCGCTGAAATCGGAGTTTAGATGATCCCAGATTTAATTTTTGAAGTTTCCAACTTGATTCTTGCCTCGAGATTAGTGCCCGATCAAGATAATTTTATCATAACGTATCAC